TTCTAAAGCTAAATGTTTCTTTATATCTACTAACCAATTTTGGCATAGAGATAGAAACTTCAATCATGAAATGATCGGCTGGACCCCAGCGGTGTATGCAACTATTGTTAATTCCAATATTTCCCCAAATATGATCGATACAAGAGTTTGTTTTTGAAGTTACTCGTGTCGGTAACAGAGGTGACAGCAAATTATAACCGAAAGAACTGAACATTTCAGTAAGATCATCTCTTGCCTTGTGTTTTTTCATCATATCAATAGTAAAGTCTCCCATAATCACATGTCTCTTTTTCGACTTGGCTTCGGTTAAGACCTTTTCTAGTTTGTGGACAAAATCCTCGACCCTCATTGACGGTTGACGATATATAACAGTTACAGCCGTTGCCGTTTTATCACCGGCTACAACCTCTATTTTTAAAATTTCTCCTGCAGACACCTCCACTAACTGACTTGTATTAAGCTCCGTTCGTATATATAAACCTACTCCACCTCCTCTGCTCAGCCGACGGCTGGAGAAAAACTTGTATCCTTGCAAATTGAACAACTCGGCTGAATCATTAGGGCTCAGCCAAGTTTCAGTGACAGCGATAACAGATGGGGCTATTGCAAGTTGCTCAAGACTTACTTTAAAGGCTTCAAAATTAGATTTAAGTGATCGCACGTTAACATTTAGTAATGAAACAGCCTCAAAAACTTGGGTAAATGACGATGGGGACATAAAACGAAATAAAATAAAAATGAGATTGAATAAAAGTCCCTACTGAGGCTGTCTTGTCTTAAATACTTAACCACTGTCTTCTACAGTAAACACACTTGAAGTATTGCTAACATTAGAATGAAGCTCAGTTTGAGGAGATTGTTTTGCTAAGTTATCAACATACTGCACAATTTTTTCAGGTTCATTTCTGTGCTTTTTAACATAATCAAGGATTTGCTGATCCGACCCGGGACTTGGCGGAAACACTCGTTTTGGCGTTGTCGTGTTGACATTTAGCCTCATCGTTGCATCTTGATTTCCTAATTGAAAAATTGATTTTCTCTTCTTTGCTAAAATTTGCGCTTTACCAGAAGCAAGCAACGTTTCCGCAATAACCGAGTCCGCAACATTATGAGTGAACACCTTCCCGTTCTCACGCTTTATAAAGACTTGCGGTGCGCAGTTGTTTTCAAATTAAGGCCTTTCATATAACCGAGTAAATCCGAATCTCTCTTTGTCAGTCTCTCAAAAAGGTATACAGGTTTTTTATTGATCTGATTGAGATAATGTCGTAAAAAATGCTTCCTTGCCCAGATACGGTCTTTGACATCAAAATAGACAAATTTCACAATAATGGCTGGGGGGTATAGTTTAAAAACTTCCCTCCAACAAAATTGGTCCCCCAACTGAAAGTACAAACGCCAACAGAAAGTAGGAAAAAGTCAATGAACGCCAGAAAACCAAAAAAAACGACTTGCTTTTTGAAAAAAAAAATATAGACTCAGAGCTCTTTGAATTTCGAGAACAATTAATAATCGCTAAAATTAACATAACTTGTAGCAACCGGAACAATAGGCAAATATTTTATTCCGCTGAGAAATCTGAACAATAAATCCACTTTCAAAAGAAGAAGTCGATCATGGTTTTTGTGGCTTCTACACATTTGCTTTCCGATAGTGTAGTTCGCCTCACTTTTAACAAGGGAATTAAACTGAAATCATACATGAGTGAAAAGAAAAAACCGGTCAGACAATTCAGCCAATTTCAAATTCAGACAAATCGAACAACCCACGTGAGCGTAAAAACGTGCGCACAAAAATTTTCACTTGCGGCAAAACATCAAAGCTTCATTTAGATGACTTATAGTTAATTTCCTAATCATAATGTTTCCAAACTTAAAAAACCGGCTAAAAATATCAAACTCAACAGAAAACTGCACTAAAAAGCTAACCAATTTAAACGAAAGCAGACCCAAAGCTGAGAACTTTACAAGCGGTCAAAAAAGATATCAGTTAAAGGGTTGACCACCCCTACCACGTACTGGCCACAGAGTTACGCTGATAATCTTATCATGGGGAGGGTGCAATCGCCTATCATGGAAATTGGGTAGTTGGTTGAAACTATTTTGAAACTTTAACTTCTTTAAAAGATAAACTAATTGCGATTTAATCATTGCCCAACCAGAAACCAGTACCGAGTTTAACGCCTGAATTTTGCAGTTGATTGATACATTTACACAATCAACGTTGATTAATCTTTCTTAGTATCTAGTTTGAACAATTTACTGATTCGTATTATCTAAACGCAGAAGAAAGCATTTTGTCTTGTTGGTCATAGATACCATGAAAAAACCTTAAGAATGTCCTTAAAAATTTCAGAGCAGTGGGTTATTTCACCAACAGCAAGAATTCCACTCAAAAACCGAGTACGTTCACTTACCGAGCCCCTCGAAAATTCAAGCTAAGAAAATTGCAAACGAAGTTCGAGAAAAAGCCACAAACACTGCTAAGGTAACGCTCCCCGATAGATTGTCTTCAACGCGCAATATTACTAGCCTCTTTATGCAGCGCCGATAATACCGAGTTACTCAACATCTCTTTGAAGAATAAACCGAATCAGGCAGCAAGCTTTAGAAACAATGCCGACGCCAAAAAACCATGAGAGCAATGTCAAAAATCGTGAACCTCTCAAATTTACACACAGCGGCGATACGTTCTAATATTTTGATTTTGGTAAATCAGACAACTGAATTTTTGTATTTGCAACATTACCTGCCCTCAAATTGATTTCAGAGTCCAAAATCTGCCATTGCGCAGAACGTTTTTTTGAGTACCACCGGATTTCTTCTACAAAGTTCATACCCTATAGGAGTGATCGAAAACACATTTATACCGTTGGTATACGCTCTGCTGCCCAACAAGACTCACGACACAAATGAAAAACATTTCGGCTGCTTAGAGCAATTCGGAAAAAAAATAGTCATTGATTTTAGGCAGTTGTTTGCAACGCCATTAAGAAAATGCATCCTGATACAGAATTTTTTTTCTTCCACTTGGGCCGGGCAGCATGGCGCAATGTACAAAAACTTGAATTTATGCGCAATTAAATAGACGATAATGAGTTTCGCCTAAATATCAAAAACATGATTTGCTTGGCATTCGTTCCCGTTGACGATGCAACGTTCGCATTTGAAGAGCTGCGAAAAAAAAGCCTTGAAAAGAATTTCAGAGTCTAGCGAACTACTTTGAGGACACCTATATTGGTGCACATAGAGAAAAAACGCGTCAAACCAAATTTTGACATTTCCCATTAGAACTTTTTTAACCGACTACTCAGCGGAGAACGTCGTGCAAACAATGCATTGGAGGCACGGAATGGCAGCTTCACAAAATTCGTGTCGACAAAGCAAGAGTTTGAGTCAAAGATGAGCAAAAAATGCCGATACTATGGCCAGAGATTGATGGCCGGTGATTTCATTAGAAGCCCAACTAATCAATCGCCAATGAAAAAACTAGTGCAGAACGCAAGCAATTACAATCGAGACCATATACAGAAGTATTTAAAACTTTGTACCTTCAATGTAGCTATATCCTAAAAACTTACGCACAGCATATTTGTTTTGATCTTTGAAAATTGTTATTTGATGTTTTGAATTTCATTGTTAAAGTGTTGAAAACCTTCTGACTCTAATCAAATTAGAAAAATATTAATTTTTCCGTTGATCTAGCATCTTTAACCTAATTTGGCCGAATTGTCTTTGGCTGAATTGTCTGTGGCTGATTTTTCTCTGCGCCGTCTTCACTACTTTCATTGAGTCATTGATTCTTAAAAATACACTTTTGCACTTCAAATAACGTTCTATCAGGTAACAAATTCGTTTATGAAATAAACCAAATTCATTTAAATCGAGAAAACCTTCAAAACGAAAAAAAAAACAAAAGGAAATTAACCGAAATCTAGGGTAGCAAATTTACAAAAACAATTTCAATTATAGTTAAATTTACTCGAATTAGAAAGAAAGACCATTGCTTTGCAAAGCAAGCCAAACGATAGTCCGGCCATCAACTTTTTCCGCGAATATGAAAAAAATCGGCTCCCGTTTGGAAGCAAACGCAGATCCTTTGGCCCTCCAAGCATGGACGTTACCTTTAACCTGAATGCGCTGAAGCTGTCATTGACTTACGAACCACGCAAATTTTCATGTCATAATTCCGTTAGCAAAGTTGTTTCCGAAAATGAATCTAGTACCCGGTGATAATATCGTTGCTAATCGCGAGCATGAAGAACAACAGAGTGCAGAGTCGCTTTTGCGTTCATCGTGCCCAAAGGTCATCGCAAATCACATCATTAGTTTCTCAAATAAGAGGAAGCATGGAGGAGCAGCGAAAAAAGCTCATCCTCCTTTGCTGTATTAATAAGCATGGAGGAATAAAGAAGTAACTGTCCCGTTCCGATGACCCCAGTTGAGAGAAAAACTTTTGGAGTAGGAATTTTTGACACAGATGCAGGTACTGCAACAAAACATCGTAGAGTTTTGAGGGATATATGCAAAAGACGCGTGTTAACTTGTGATTTGGTCACCAATAAAAAAAATCTTTGAACATGGGAGTTATAGAATTTTCATATATCACACCAGAATTTTATACCAAAATTGAAAAAGACGAAATTGTCTGTTTGAGCAAATTTGGTTGGTAACTTCATCGGTAAATGACAATATTTTATCTATAAATACGATCATCTCATTTTAATTTGCTAACTTAAATTTAACCAACACAGAATCTTTCAACAGAATGTCATCTTTCGAATTTTCAAGAAAAAGAATAGATTCCCTCAAAGCTCTTCGAATTTCTAGAACACATTATGACTGGCCCTTTTTTTTGATAGAGTTAACCAGATTTGAGAAAACTGGATCAATAAGTAAAACTTTTATTTCGCTGAGAAACCTGAAAAATGCCAGTAACGATTAATTTGAATATTGATAGCAAAGGACCACATTTTTTAGGCAGTTGAAAATTACACTTGCCTCATGTGTCTCTGTCGCCTCATTCTCTACGGGGACCAGTTGTTCCAAATGAGCCACCAACTGGACCGCTTTCACTCCTACCTTATTAGGCACAAGTAGCATATGAGGCAGTAGCCTCACAAGAGGTCGCACAAGCGAGTCAAACACTAGAAAAAAAACAATTTGCAAATAGTTTCTAAAGTTCTCAGAAAACTAATTTAAAAGATCAATTCACCAATCTTGACTAAATTATGAATGGAATTTTGGTATCTCAGACAGTATTGATGTTTTTACACTCCGTTGATGAAAACGATGGTAGTATTGCATTGAGGCCAACATTATACAAATGTTTCATCAGCGGTCATTCGTGTTGTTTCATGAGCAATCAAAAATTCTGATAAGTGCCGAATGCGCAATTCCTTCCAACTCTGAACACTAGCAATGCGGAAGCAGTAAATTATTACGCACTTTTAAATCATTCCAGGACGAAAAAGCAAACTAACAGCTGCGAACAAAGACATACACAGAGGCATAAATGCATGCGATACAAAAATGAATGATTTTAATTAAAAGAAAATGCAAAGAAGAATTCAAAATTAAAAAAAAAACTTGCGAAAAAGCTTTTTGATCAAAAATTTAAAAATCCCCAAAAAAACAGAACCAAAAAAACCTGCAACATGAGAAAATTTACCATGAGCTTTCGCAATCATGGAAAGAAGCCGAACTTGCAGAAAAAAAACTTTCTGCGGGAGCTAAGCCGGCAAAAATAAGCAGACACAAAAGTTTTAAATTGCTGCAAACTCTCGGTTTGCAAAATCACCAGTCCCCAACTTAACTGAACTCCCGGGCTTGGTCGTCTCAGGCGACAGTATTAGAACAACATGGAAGAAAGCTGAACTTTCAAGAAGAGTCGGGCTATGGGAACTAAGCCGACAAAAATGAACAGACGGACGACCTTCTGAAAAAGCAAAAAAATTCTAGTTAAAAAAAGAAGTCCTGGCCGGATTCGAACCACGAGCTTTGAAGTCTCAACCAGTGAATTATCTCTATGCTAGATGTTCTGGCTGGTTGATTAAATACAATTTATAATAAAGCACGAAAAACACGTAAAATTTTGACGTGCGAATTCTGTGAACAAAGTTGTTTACGGGAATAAAGTGTAGTACCCGGTTGCAACACCCTTGTGGCAAAGGTAATCACATAAGTGAAAATTTTATCATAACATAAAAAAAATATATTTAGACACATTAAAGGGCGATGTGAAAACTAAGGGCCTTATTGTGATATTTATGGTGTTATAGTTCCGCGCTTCGAAGAAAGTAACGGACAATTATAAATCGAGGTGGTATTTTCTGCGAACCAATTTTGGTGACTAGCAATTGTTACTAAAAGACAATTTTTGTACCAAACTGAAGATACCCCATAAAAAATTACCTGCAATTATACATCAAAAACTACGAGGGTCTACGTTGCGCCACTTTGGGCTAAATCATATTCAATTTGACTCCGCTCTGCGTGCATAGCGCGTAGGCAGCGAGTTAGATCGCGTTCAAGATTATTTGAATTGAGACAGGCTAATGAGTCCCATTACTTCCTTTCTTCATACAAATTATACACAGAAGCAAAGCTGCACTTTGCAAATACAAGCCAGAAAACGGTAAAAAGAAGCTCGGTTGCAATGTAAAAACGAGCAATACGGAAAAAAAACAAAACCTTGAAAAATAAAATTTTGCAATGTCACGGAATCAAACCGCCAACCTGAAGATAATGAATCTCACGACTTCGCATAAGTGACACAAGCATAAGTGACACAAGATACTACATAATTGCTAAGTGACACAAGCCAATCATGACGCATTAGCAGTACCCGTCAATTTGAACAAAGTAATTTACCAACTAACATGCCTTAATTTGTCGAGCGGACGCATTTTTTTGTAGTAAACGAAAAAGTTCATTAAAAACATCCGACCCTGCACAGGATCGACCCCTCTTATTTTGTTGCAGGTCTCCTTCGCTAACTCACTAACTCTATGCTACAGATCCATGATACCTTGAAGATTAAGTGATATTTGTAAAATCATAGTCTGTGTTAAGATCCGTAGCATTGGCTGTACTTACTAGCTGGTTATTGATCTTATGCATATACTGCAATATGATCACTTTCAATATGAACACTAATATTTGCGACCTAGCTTGGAAAAAAGACAGTTCATACTATCACACAAGCTTTGCTTGTGTAATGAAATTGAAACCGGTTGTGTCTTGATATTTCGAAGTACCTAGATAATTGAGAAAAAATGATTTTTTTAAAGAAAAGTTTCAAATTATTTCTTGAATCTAAAACACGAATTTTTTTGAAAAGCAAACGGCGTACTCATAGCTTCTCTCTGACACGAAAAATTTAGTTTTCTTTTTTAAAAAAAGAAAAACACTAATTTCTTGTAGAAATATCAAAAACAACTCCGGCATCAGTTTTAGAAATGCAACCTTTATTGTTTCAATCAATTGTAAAGTTTTGTTTACGGAATTCATTTTCATAGACATTCAATTAAAATATCGTTTCTAGCTCTTGTGGAAGGACCAAAGAATGAGCCTAGAGAGCATCGATGTGCACAAAAGCGAAGAAGTAATTCGCAAAAAAGAGTAAAGAAAATCTTGAACTGTCTAGCTACTAAAACACATGAACAAAAGAAAAAATCTCGTTTTTATTCCGTGTTAAATACAGGATGATGTGCCTCGTCCAGTGACGCCTTAAAACGACAGAGAAGTTGCCAAAAATCAATTTGCAATGACTTTTACGCCTGATTAATTCGCCGACTATGCCTCGCGTTTACAGAAAACTGCGAGAACTTCTATCTCGATTTGGACAATTTAACCAATTTCAAACCACCGTAACTTTGGAAAAAAAAGAAAAAATATCTTTATAACTTCAAGCTCATGACAGCAATGGCTTTTAGGATTTACAAAAAAAAATACAAAAGCTTATCGCCGGCATTAATCTAACCAGCAGTGATTGTAATTTAGCGCTGGTTTTTATGGATGCACTGAAATAGTGTTTATATAAATTATCCGGACAAAACCTACAAAATTCAAACTGAAAACTCGCTTTTCTCAAACTGAGTTGACTTTGAATGAGAAATTAAAAACCCGCTTAGAATATTAGCAGAATTAAAATGGCGGAACTTTTTTTGCGAAATTCGGGCACAAAAAATTACCACAAAAATGGATCAATTTTGGTTTTTTTAGTCAATCAAAAATTAGGATCAAGCTACTGAGACAATTACTAACCAAATTATATCAAAGTGAGCCACTCATGTAGCCTAACAAAGTTTAACAAAAATATAATCTCTAAAAAATTGTATGAACATATTTTTATTTGATAGACAAACAACGTCATTTTCACTAATAAAACATATTTTTTTTCATTTAAAACAATTTTTATATGATTTGCGCATTTTCTGAAGATATCCTTCATAAACTTTGTTTGATTACGTAAGAGGCTCCTTTTGACATAGTATGGCCAGCAATTGACTCAGTACCTTAAGCAAAGTTTTTGATAGACTAAAAAGCCAAAACTCATCCATTTTTGGGGCAAAAACATTCTGCCCCAATTTCGCAAAACAAATTCCATTATAGTAAGTCGGCTTAAATTCTATGAAAGTTTAGTCTTTATCATTCTTCACCTAAAAGCGACCCATTTTGAGAAAAACGCGTTTTAAACTTCAAGTTTAATGCGTACTAGCGTGTAACTCACCTCCAGTGCTTCGATTTTTTTGACAACTCATGAAAAAACGCATATAATGGAAACCAGATCTGCAGGCTTTTAGTTTACTCTGACAGCACCGAATTACATGGTTGGTAATTTCAGATTTTGTAAATTTTTTAATTCCTACTTTCCGTCTAATCTCAAAAGCTTCAAATCTCGAAAACTACAAATTTTTGAGTAGTCACATTTGGAGGCAAGATGTTCAACTCCTGGGAGTACCCTGGCAGCATCTATTCACAGTCTTGGGATATTTAAATTTTGTGAATTTCTCTAAATCTATGTTAACTGAAAATTTTGGAACAATCATGAAAAACATCATATCTGGAAAAATACAAGGATTTGGGCAGTCATGTTTAGAGGCAAGATTCTCAAACCCTATGAGTATCCAGACAGCACCCAACTACAGGATTAGGAATTTCAAATTAAAAAAAAATTTAACATCACAAAAAACGTTATATCTGGAAAACTACAAAGATTAGAGCGGTAAGAATTGGTTGCAAGGTTCGCAACCCAAGAGAGTACTCTGATAGCCCCCAACTACGGGGTTGAGAATTTCAAATTTAGAAGAAAAAAATTGTTTTGGTTTTCTGAAGTTTTTTTTTGAAAAAATCACAAAAAAAAGTCCATCTCGAACACTACACGGATTTGAGCAGTCACATTCGGAGGCAAGATTCTCAAACCCTGAGAGTACCATAACAGCACCCAACTACAGTGTAAGGAATTTCGAAAAAAGTCATATTTCAAAAACTACAATAATTTGAGCAGTCGTAATTAGAGACAAGGTTCACAACCCCCTGAGAGTACTCTGATAGCCCCCAACTACAGGGTTGGGAATTTAAATTTTGAAGAAAAAAAATTAATGAAGATTTTAATAAAATTTTTGAAAATATCACACAAAACGTCATACCTCGAAAAATACAAGAATTTGGGCAGTCATAATTGGAGGCAAGGTTTGTAACCCCCTGAAAGTACCCTGGCAGCAACAATCTACATGGTAAGGAATTTCAAATTCCGAAAAAAAACTAATTCAAGTTTTTTTTGAAAAATCATAAAAACGTAAATATCTCGAAAACTACATTGATTTGAGCAGTCATATTTGGAGGTAAGGTTCTAAACTCCTGAGAGTACTCTAATAGCACCCAATTCCAGGGTTTAGAAACTCAAGTTTTGTAAATTATTTTGTAATTTGAGTTTTCTGAACAATTTTGAAAAAACATCAAAAACCTACACTTAAAAGATTTGAGCATTCTTAATTGGAGGCCAAATTTGCAACCCCTTTGGGAACCCTGGCAGCACCCCACTATTGGGCTGCTTAATTTAAACCCGGTGGAAAAACCAATGAAATCAGACTGGAAAATCGAAAAAAAAACCTTAAGAACTGCAATATACGATATAGCTGAA